AGCTGCCACCGCGGCCGCCTTGACCGAGCTGAGAGGGTGGCAGGCGGGGTGCGTGCCGGGCTGGGGCAGCGCGCGCTTGCGGCTACCGCCGTTGAACATGGCTTTCACGTCCTCCCAGGCGAAGACGAGCTCGTCCTGTGGGCTCTTGTCCGTGAGCTTGAGATGACGGCGCCAGGAGTTGAAGTTGGCTGCGTCTGGCTGCGTATACTTGGCGTCAGGCGTGCGGTGGGAGTGGAAAATAAACTTGTTGGGTGAGAAGTACATGTTGCAGTAGCTGCATTTGATGCACTTGGCTCGAGAGCTGTTGTAGCGCGCGGGGATGAAACTGCCGCGGCAGCCCCAGGCGCACTCGTGAGACACATCGAAGGCGAAGTTGTCGGGCAGCTTGGGTGGCCTGTTTTCTCCAAGAAACGACTTGCACAGACGCTCGGCCTCTCGCTTGGTTATCATGCCGCAGCGGCGCGACGAGATGGGCATGGCCCCCGCCCGACGCAGGATTTCCAGCTGCACCGGCGTGCACTGCACGCACGTGATGCCCAGCGCCACTCGGCGGTTGTGGATCTCGTTGTAGCTGAAGTTCTTGAGGAGAGTGTTGGAGATCTGCGCCAGGCACAGGCGCTCCTGCCCATCGATCACCAGTGACACGATGGGAATGCCATAGAGGATCACCTGGCCCACCTGGTTGGGTTTGAGGTTGGCGTGGCCAGAACGTGGCTGGCTCAGCGTGTCAGGCTGGAAGGCGCTCGACGGCGACGCCAGCAGGATGTCGTTGGGCCCTGGCAATGGGCTGGAAGCCATCTCCTCCTCCCAGGAACTCTGGGTTGAACCCTCCTGGTTGGCCTTGGAGACTGGAAGGGAAAAGAGAAAGCACTGAATTGAGCCTTTTCAGTCAAAACAGTGGTGGGGCTAGCTACTAAGTGAAGGATTACAATAACTTTCTTTGACCAAAGTTCAGTTGCAATAAACTCATCTCTTAATTTCTTTCAAGGTCGCCCTTTAGAAAATGCAGATACTTGGAGGTAGCAATTTTTCATCTAAGCATCCAAAGTAAATAAACTATTAATGTTGTCTAATACACACACACACACACACACACACACACACACACACACTTAAAAAGTAGCCATTTCCTAAGAAACTCAGGACCTCATCCTGGATTTATGGAAGCTGTTGGAATAAAATGAAGTATCCGTTAGAAATGAGATACTAACAACAGTTGTAACTATTACAGATATAAAGTTATGATAGAAAACTGGGGCTTGGCCATTAAAGCCCAGATTTAAAGAGAGTGAGACTATTCACATTTGCTTGAAAATGAATTGATTTTGGTTAAAAATAAAACAAACCCAAACCTTTTTAAAAATGATTTTTGTGGTATCTGTGGTTTCCTTGGGGAAATTCACCACTGGTTAAACACAGCCCATTAAAGCAAAACGAAATCCCTTCCCTCCCATTTTGTTTGCTATTAGATATTTTGTTACTGTGATTAGAGGGATTTTTTATTTTTTGAAAAGTGGAGAAATGTATAAAGCCACATACATGATTGCACCAAAACAAGGTGTTTCAATTTCACTTTTTAAAAAACCCATTTGTTGAACAGAGGTGCTGGTTCCAGATAGGCAACTTAGATGAGGTTGAAGACCTGTAACCATTTAAAAACTGTTTTCCTGCCTTCTTCATGACAAGGAGCACTAAGTACAGGCTGGTGTGGTAAACCTGGAAATAGGGCAAAGAAACAATTCTTGGAGATCATTATTGGTGAACTTTAAAAGGCAAATTCAGTTTCATGTGAAGCAAGCTTTGTAGGGAGAAAGATGCATTACAGTAAAGACAATCCCTAGAGTAGATAATTGTGGGAGCATTGAAATCAGAAGGCCATGGTTCAAGCTACCATAAAATTTCTAATTTCCTCTTGGGCCAATGGTAGCCCCATTGGATACCACAGAATATCCAGGAAGTTGAAGTATATAGAAAAAGAAAACTGTGTGACAATGTTGGCAAGTTAAAAACATGCTAAATGCCACTTTCTCTAGGGAAACCATGATCTTTCCACAATTTGTCCAGAACATAGGCCAATACTGTCCTTTGCCCTGGAAAAGCTCCAGTGCCTGTGACATAGCCATTCTTGGCCAAGTACATCGGATTTTATTACTACAGTGATTTCAAAGGATATGAGAGCCTACCCCCTCAACGAAGTTGTTATACCTGTCCTTCTCTGGGCCCCTAGGACATCTGTGCCACCACCTTTGACCTGCAGCCCTGGGGATCCTCAGCTCTCACTACATTCAGTGGCCTCCTGGAAGGCCAAACAAACCGTGTCCCGAAAACAAGTGAGCGGAGAGTCTGGCTTGTCACTTTGGATGGATCGGGGGACAGTATTTCTGGGGAACGGGAGCATTAAATGGCAGTTCAAGGCACAGCGTTATCTAAGCCTGACACAACCAGCTCCAGCTTCACCAAATGGCCCTTCAGTGTTTCTTGCCCTCCCAAATAAGACTCATTATTTCAATAAGACCCTGGGATAACTCGAACTCTCGCGCACCAGAAATGCAAGCAGTAGGCTGGTGCGGAGGAGGAACTGGCTCGGTGGTGGGGATCAGCAGCCTTAGCCGCCGCCCAATGGACCAGGCAGCAGTGTCTCTTCCAGGTGTCCTCCACCTTCACCACAAGCCCTCCCCAGAACTCCCACCAGAGCAGAGACGTGAATAAGGTTCAAGTTGGGGAAATCTTTCAAGGGATAAAAGGATTAAGACAAGAAAAAGTTAGTTGACCTGAGAAAGAAAGCTGGCGAACTTCAGCATTCAGTTCACCAGCAAGTGTGACCCCTAAATGAATCCTCTTGCCTCCCAAACCCATCACACCCGAATCCCACCGCTGCCCCTCAACTAAGGCGGAAAATTCCGCTTCTGGGGAACTCAAATAGTGAGCCGAGAACTATGTGCCCAGTCGGGCCAGCGTGTTCCGGCAGTACCTGGTAACCCCTAGACGTCTTTAGGTGCGTGGCTGCCGGCCCATCTTCCAAGGGCGCACGGAGGCGAAGCATCCAAGCGGGTCCTCGAATCCAGCGGGCGGGACTCTGGCGGGTTGCGCGCGAAGATCCGGGCGCTGGTGCGAGCTAATGGAGCTAGAACCCCGGCGGGGTTACAGTAAGGTCCTGGATTGCGGCGGGGTGTCCCCTGGACCGCAGAAAGTGTGGGTACGTGGCAGGCGAGCCCCAACTGGAGCGCAGTCTGACAGAGCCTTTCTCTGTCTCTGAACTCGTGTCGGACCGAGGGGACGCCACCCAGCGGGCAGGATGACGTCACCGTCTCCCTGACACTCCACATTAAAGGGCTGGCATGTTACAGGGAGGGAGGGGGAGAGCAAAAGCAAGAGCGAGCGACGTAGAGATCCTTTCTCAGCGTGCACGAAAACTACCACCTAACCAACCCGCAACTGACAATCTCCCAACCCCGGAGTGAAAGGGCTGGCTCCACAAATCTGAGCCAGGTGTGGAAAGCTGAATGGTTTGTGTTCATCCTAGGGATCTAAATACTGGAGGCCCGAGATTCTAGTTAATTTAAATTAGCTGTGTTCATGCTCCTTTTTATCTCTTTCTCATTTCTCTGAGTCACAACCCTTGGTGAATGATTCCTCTGATATAGAGTGAAAACCAGTAGACTGTCTGTCTCCGAACACAGTATTTAGAGTCAGCTGAGAAAATATGAGTTTGAGCGCCTTGTTGGAAACAATGCCAAATGAGAAAGGGGGAGGTTTCCACAAAGGGTGCCCAATCTGAAACTTGGAAGAAAGCATGAAGAGTGTCCCTACTTTCTTGTCTTTCTAGGACAAGCTACAGAGAATTACTGTGGCAGTCTCTGTTTTAAAACGTGTACAGTTGGTGGAGGGCTCAAGAGTGCATTTGTACATTTATCAATCGACTTCATCTGGAATAATTCTTCAACTCATTTTTGTAAGATCTATGCAGGCCACCACAGCGTGAGGAAAAGGTGGTGGTTGGATAGGGAACCAATGACATTCCCCACCCTGACCAGCTCTTGAACAAGTTGTCAATTCCCCTGGAGGAAATAATTTCCTAGAGAATCATGTAGGAGCATTCACTTCCCTTCTCCATAAAGAGGGAGAGAGCAAGGATGAGAAAGCTCCCCTAAATGAGGCATACCCTGGGGTATTAATGAAGTATCGAATATTATCTCCAAAATGATCACTTCTTAAAAGTCAGAATAACCACTGGCTAGTTTATCAGAAAGGAAAGAAGTTATGCATTTGGATAACATTCTAAAAAGGATACCTGCTGAAGGTGGGCACAGGAGTGGGAAAAATGTTATGTTCTTCCTTTATTACCATAGCTGAATTCTCCATTGCTGCCCAGTGAAGCACAGGCTTCAAATTGGAAAGTCATGTTGTGGAAATGATGGAACAACCTCCACTGAGCCCAAAGACCAACCATGCTGGGTCATAGCATAAACAGTACATGACTGCTAAATACAAGAATAAACACATGAAACCTTAACACTTCATTAAAGGTTAATAAAACCAAGGAAACCCAATTGAATGTGACCAGCTTGTTGCTCAGGAGTTGCACCTTGTGAAAAATGAATACTGTGAGCCTGGCAAATTGTAATACTTGTTTCGGCAGAAGTTTCAAACAATGGTGAAATAATTTTTCACTTATCTCATAGTTACTAAAGGCATTAAGGGACTAAAATCAACCCATCACTCCCTCCCTAATCCCTGAAAAGAAGGAAAACTGTCTTTCTATCTACTCAGCCTGTTCAGCTAAAGAGTGACACTGTTATTCTCAAGCCCCATTTCTAGAAAAAATGTAGACTCCACACTCTTTCAAGGTTCCTAGGGCCAAACCTAGTTTTGCCTCCTCCCTTGCCTTTTGTTTGGGGTAAGGGTCTCCTGCAAAATGAGTTATAGCTTGCTCATTGTTCCCAGTGCCTGGGCAACTAAAAAGAAAGCTTAAGCCCCATGGAAAGAAAGTTTGGGAAAGGGGTGAATTTTAAGGCTAAAAATGGGGAGAAATGAGAATTTCTATCACCTCATGAACATAGCAGAGGGAAATGCCTGGGTGCTGCTGTAGGGGGAGCACTGTAAGGGTATTCATATTTTATTGCAAAGTTCCCAAAAGGCTTGTCTTCCCCCAGAAGATGCCTATTTTTTCGAGATACCTTTTTTTTTTTTTAAAAAAAGAAGCATTTTCAAAAACATTTTTCTTTGAAAAGAAAAATGGAATAAATATTTATCTTTTCTCCCAATCTCAGGTTACTCTGAGGAGTGAACCTATACCTGGAAGGGTACCTGTAATTATCTCCTTACCTAAATCTTTAAACAAAATATTGCCACAGTCCTTTGGCACTTACTTTCTACAAGCCTGTAACTTTAATACCAAAAAAACATTTCCCTAGAGAGAGAAATGTGTAGCATGAGGTCAATTTTACACAAATAACTCCAAGAATAGCACAGTATTTTATTTCTCCAATGAGTCTGGGGGCCCTTTTTGAAAGGGCAAGCCAATTGTATTTTTGGAAATTGAAGATGGAGAACATTAGTTCAAAGCAGACTCTACTTCTGGAGAATTCTTGTCTTGATGCCTTACTTGGAATGTGGAATTACAGCCTCTTGGTGTGTTTTGAGTCCACAAAAAGCTTTCTGTCACCCACTGTCTCTGATCTTTTGCTTTCTCCTCAGTTTCAACAACACTATTGTTGGTCCTCCCTGGGGTCTTTGTCAGTCCCTTCCCTGGCCCTTGGCCCCCGGCCCCTGCAGGTTCGGGGGAAGGGGCTACTGGTATCAGGAAGAGGCTATTCTGGGCCTAGTTAATCAATTATTTCCTATTCGAGCTGACATACATTTTACACGTTGGAACTCTCCTCAGCCGGCTAATTGATTCAAATTGTTTTATTGGTTAAACTGGTGTCACCCGTTTGTATGATCTATCACTGTACGAAGAAGAGCATTTCCACTCCCATCTCCGTTCTGGGCGGCTGCGGTTCACCCAGGCCAAGGACAGGTAAAGGAACCCAGACGCTGGACCCAAAGGAAAACCACAAACCGAGCCAGCCCCTTCGGAACTGGAGAGGCGATGCCTGGATGCAAGCGCACGAGGGAGGCTGACGCGGCAGCGCGGGTAGAGGTTTGTAGCTGCGGCTGCTAACAACTTGTTCAAGGCAATTCAAATCAAGCCGGGGCCAGGACCAACATCTTCCACTTTGGAACTAGTTTGTTTCTGAGAACTGTGGACCGGGTGAGTAGGAGGGCCAAGGCCAAAGCCCAGGAAGGAGCTGTCCGCGGTGCTGACATAGTTCGTCGCTCTGAGGCACACCAGATCACGGAAGAAGGCACTCATCCTGTAACCACTAGAGCTGTAGATTCGGCTTCCGTCTTGGAATGGTCTGGTATACTTAAAGGCAGGCAAGGGGTGACAAAACCACACCCCCTCTTCTCTCACACCTGAGGCATTGAAGACCAGAGAAATTCACCCTTTCCCCAATTCCATACCTTCCCTTGCATTGACAGCAAGAAAGATAAAGGCCATAGTATAACTTCATTACAATCAGAGACACATGTATTATTCCTTCTTCCCAACCCCAGCCTGCTACTAAGAAACCCATAACAGTCACAGGTCAAAATCACCCTCTAATCTTCTTTCCCATATCCTGTCACCTCATTCTCACTCTCAGCATTGGCATTTCTCAGGGCACTGCTCCTGGTAAGTGCTCTTGGCATTGGTGTTCAAAAAGAGATCCTGATATCCCAGAAGGAAACACGAAGAGTAGCTGAGTTGGAGCATTAAAGATCCTGGAATCTCAGAAAGTACAGGGGACTCAGAATCAAATGACAGTGTACAAATTACTCTGCAACCACTTACAATCTTTGGAATATTATTCAGATAGCTAACCTTCTTAAGCCTGTTTCTTCATCTGCAAAATGAGGAGACTGATATCTAGTCCTCAGAGACATAGTGAGAGTTAAATAATATCTTACCTATGAAGTGTTTGGGACACAGTGGCCATTAAAGGTAGATTTAAAGGTATTTTCTTTGGAAAATAGAGACATAGTCTGGACCTGCTGTGTTTCAAGATATGTTAGAGATTTTCTATAACTTCATAATAAAATATATCAAAGGCATCTTAGCTGAGTGATAATCAGAAAGGGAACCAAGTTCTCTGGAAGAACATAAGTTTTTTTATTGAAACTTAATCCTGCCACTAATTGGATGTTTGTTTTATATATAGGTGGCCAGAGCCCCAGCTAGTATTGTTTAACCCATTTTAAGCAATTTGATAATAAAAATTACCAACAATAATGGCCATAATGATAATGGTTGCTGATAACTGCCAGTCCTCATTTTCTATCCCCAAAAACTTTTGACAGCTGGGCAAGCCCAGTTTAGTCCTGTTTTTTGCCTCATTTCTCCAGCTAGAGTTACATAAAGCAAACCAAAGATCAGAAGTAAACCGAATACTCATCTATGATGGAAGTCATAGGACAAATGAGAAAGATTTCTGAGCATCCTGGGTTGGACTCAATCTTTGAGCCTTCTGTAAAATATTGTCTATAAACAAGGACCCTTTCTTTTGCTGGGGCCAGAGCTACCTGAGGGAAGTACAATGAGAGCATGGATCTCCAATTGAAACTGGAATCAAGGACAGGAAGGGAGGGGAAACTGAGCACTTTTTGTAAGACCTATATCCCTGCCTCTTTGATCCTTTTGCACCAGTGACTCTGGGAGTCAAGTCCTTTTTACACTTCAAACAAACACGTCTCTAAGAAATAGTAATGGTAGGAGGAGGGATCAAGGTTTAATTTTCCTTAATCAGAGGAAATATTTTGGTAAGAAATTTTGCATTTGAGTAAGTAGCAGAGAAGGTTCCTCCTTTACCAGTTCACAGAGACTAGAACCTAATTGGAACATTTGCTGTTAGACTTTTTTTTTTTAAATAACAGAGACCATAGTCTCTTTATTAGTCCTCTCTCAAACCTATAAATACTGAAGGGGACATGTGTGTACATGTATTTTATATAAAGTAATCAAATCCAGAATGGTGCATGAACTTAAGATACTTGGTGGTCATCTAGCAAATATTAATTGATCAAGATGAAATTCAGAGGGATACAAAACACTCAAGGATAGATATAAACACATGGATGCATCCTGTCTTGGAACACACCTATAAATGTGCATCAAAAAGTAACTCTGGCAAAAGAAATAAACAAAATAAGCTACTGGTCTCTGTCTCAGCCTCTGT